AGAAGACTTTGAAGTTTTTAATTCATTTCAACCCTCGGCAAATCCATTTCGGAAACGTTTATCTAGTGCTCAAGATCGTTTTTAGGGAGGGGCTCAGAGGCATTTAACATGCAATTTAGCGCAGCTGCTGTGAAAATTCCAGGCTGTCCTTAAAGTCTTGTCGCAGGGCGCAATAAATTGCCATTTAAATGAGGCACAAATAAAAAGCACAGGGAGGGCGAAAAAAATCGTTCGCATACTTTTTGAAAGGGAAACCCAAAAAGGAAAAAATTGGCCAACCCCGAACTCCAAACCTAATGAGTAGAAACAAAGCAATATTTGCTGGCAAACGCGGCAAATTCCGAAAGCAAATTTGCCAAGAAGAGAAATTACGCATGGAAAATGGGGAAATGCGAAAATATTTCTGCTCGTGCGTTGATCAAAAGCGAGCAACATGCATATTACAAATTAGCATGCATAAAACAGGGCCGGGAACGGAATGGCCAAAATGGGAGGGCGACTCGAGTGTGCCAGGGCATAAAGCAATATTTATGTTCCCGTATCGCTTGAGGGGAGTTGCGATGAGATGGCCCGCGCTTCTTGGTCTAAATTAAGCGTGGAATATGCGTGGAAAAGCTTTTATTAAAACAGGCCGAACTTGGGTCCCATTGTACTTCAGACAGCTCTTCCGTTTCTGGTTCCTTGGTTCCTGGTTCTCATAAAAATTCCGCAAATAATCATTGGGAGGGAGCTTGGCATTACGCAAGGGGAATGCAATATGGGGTACGGAGATTGATGAATGGATCCTTAAAAACTTGCGATATAACTAAGCTTTAATGCTAGGTAATTTTGTAGACAACCTTTCAGGAGTTTCGATAAGGAGACTGTCCTGTTAGCCCGCTTAAGGAAGTGACACCTAGTGTTAGTTCATCATTTTGTCAGTCTCAGGAAATGGTCGACTGCACGTCAGCTGGCCTTCATGGCAGTCCATTTATGGATATTCGTTATTAAAATCTACTTTGCCACAACTTTTCGCAGCATTTGTTTAAATTACTTAAAACTGCAATGCAAGGCAGGGGAAAAAACGCTGGCGAGAGGCAAGTCGACTACTGAGCTACTTTTGCCAACTGCCAGTTAACATATGCATAGCCGGCCACGCCCCCTCCGCCCCCGCACACACACTGTCAACAAGAAAACGCCCACATAAAGTTAACGACAGCGAACGAGGGCAAAAGAAACCAAAAAAGATGGCGAAATTGTGAGGGAAAATTGTTATTTAATTTGTGTGAGTGCTGAACATTTTTGCAGCTGCTGTTGCTCAAGTTCTTGCTGCAAACTTTTTGCCAGCACACGCACTAAACTTTAACACAAGCATAAATTTGGGCGCACACAGATACTCCAGGCGCGAGTGTGTGGGTAAGTAAGTGCACTTTGCATTGGGGCCGCCGCGAATCCTTTGGCTTTCTTCAAAATTCATATGCACATTTATTTTACTCGCGCCCGCCTCTCAAGTAGCTGCATATGCAAGTAGGTGCAGCAGCTTCTCTTCTTATTTGCTGCATAATTTCCGCCCACCACCGGCTTTTTTCTTGGCTTAAACGAAGCGTAAAGGCAACACAGGCTGCAGTTTTAAGTCACGAGTTCATTAGGAGGGCCAGGGAAAACAAAGGGGCGCACAACTTTCATATGCATAATGAAGACAGCCCTGCCGACGCCCGCCTTCCGCTCGGACTAATCAAAAATGTCAACGAAGCAAATGATTGAGGCCGCAGTAATCCCTTTGTCATCGCTTTCTGGCCTTCTCCATTTGACTTGGTAATTATGGACAGGTAATCAGTGCAGCTCACGGTTTGAGGAGCGATTACGGGGTTCTATTGGTCGGTTGCTCATAACGAAGCTTTATGGTCTCCAGATTCCCTTCCTTTTTAGGCAGCATTGGAAGAAATTGATTGGTACTTGTGTTGCAGGAAGAAACGAGTTAAACATTCTTGAGAATGCGAAAACGTTGGACAAGCAGATTAAGAAGTATTCACAAATGTTTCAATTTTGGAGCAGACTTTAAGAGCTTTATAATTATTATAGTTTAAACATTGCTTTTTTTGTAAGTTTTTTTAATAAAAACATAACTTGAACAGAGAGCATTACAAGTGACAATCAATGATTTTTTCCTGTGCTTTTTTCTTTTGAAAGAAATGCGAAACTTTGCAGACAGTCGAGGACAACTTTTTCGGAGTCGCTCTTTGTATTTTGTTTAATTTTACAAGCAAACACAAATAGTGGAAGCAACTAAGCATCCCATGGATTCTTGGCACACACAACTCCTGACTGGGAGTGTTTTCCCCTTTCTTGGCTGCTGGGCTCCGAATTTAATCTATTGTTTGGCTGTCCTGCACTCAACCCTCTCTTATCCTGACGTCTTTGACTGGAAGCCCGGGAATCCGTTGCCGCCTGCCTTTGATAAATATGACTATTTCACGCTTCCCTCCACCGACAGCACCCCATCCCGGCCCCTTGTTGTTTATTTGCGTTAAGTGTTAGCAGCCACGCTGTGCCACCACGACACCCCACTCCCTCTCCAGGACTCCACTTTCCCGGCTGCCTGGAATTTTGTTTATCTAGCACTCAATTTCGCAGTTTTAATGACAAACTGTCTTACCTTGAAATTGCATGCGGGAGCATTATAAGTGTCTCCATTTCGTGTAGGACACCGACATCCCATCCAGCCCACACCCACATCCACAGCCACACCCAACGCCCACTTCTCGGTCCTCGGCAAGGACTTTGTTTGATTGCTTGGCTTCGCTCGTCCGGAGATCTGGGAGCTGAGCTGTTTCATGTTTGGATTGCACTCGAGGGTAAGCTTGGCCAGGTCCTCAACTCGTCCTGCTCCTGCAGACGGCAGGATCTCCACCCCCACCCCCATGTCACCACCCCCATATCACCACCCCTCGACCACTTGGCAAGTTTTATTGTCTCAATGTCCACTTGGCTTTTGCCTGAAGACAACTTAATGCGCTTTGCCGGGGCAGACAACTGGAGGTGATGTGAAGTCAAAGCTAACGCATTTTCCTTAATTTCCGGCAGCATGATTTCCAATTTTTCTTCCAATTCCCCTACACTCGTCGTATACTTAATATCTCTGGCAGGAGTCGGGAGGAAGTGCGCAAGCTGATTGGAATTGCCTTTCGCAATGTCATCAATCATGCGTCGTTTTCCACACGCCCAGGCAAAGATTTTGACAAGTGTCAATGCGACAAGAGAACGAGCGATAAGCCCGACTATAAAAAGCACAGAAACCAGAGGAGCGGGAGGGCGGCGGAAGGGTGATTCGCTGGGGAAAATCACATGCAAAGTAAAATGTCGAACTTCTGACAGCAAGAAAATAAAACTTTTCATTTGTTTTCCTTGGCTCTGCCGTGTCCCGAAACTGCTGTCAAAGTTTTTAATGTTTTTAACTCCTCGCTGTCACCTGAGCAGCCACCCGTTCGGAAAAACCACCCATCGCCCACAAGAGTCCCATCCTCGATAAAGTCAGTCGAAACTGGGCCACACCCAATTTTCTGGTGATTCAGCTTCGCTTCTTTGATTGCGCGCGGGGCCTCCAGGGGTCAGGGGTTTCTTAGGGAAGTGTGACTAACTCTCGGGTGACCAATGGGAGTATGAATTGGCACGCTTAAACGAGTTATTTTGCCAACTTCACACGGACAAATAGTAGGGGTACAATTGACCCCTACGGATAGCTGCGTAACTACAAAAAAAGTTCACTACTGTAAAAATAGCAAAGGGTGTCTTATAGTTGCGTTGGTTACCTGTAAAGCTACTACAAAATAGTAATTTGTGTGTGACTAACTATTTCATATGTCATATTGACAATTAAATGGGTTGGAAACATTACAATTGATCAATTTAACAAAAGATTTTGGATGTGTGTGGGTACTTTGAGTTCAAATGTCAGATACAAACATATATAACCAAAACAAGGAAGAACACTGTAGTAGAGTGTCTCGACCATCGTATACCCGTTACTCAGCTGAAGGGAGCAAAAGAGAGATGGAGATATACAAACAGCAAAGCGGGATTGTAAAGCGCCATCTATGCGCGATTTCAATATATGGTAATGTGGGCGGCAGGCAGATTTAAGCGTTATGTGCGTTATTGTGCGTTACAGTGGGCGTGACAAACTTTTTTAGGTCAATCAATAGGTATTGACGAAGCCAATATATTTAAATATATACTTTGTTTCTAGCACCAAAACTGTACGAGCCACTGTTTGTGGGTGTTAGCGTTAATAGCGTAAATCAAGTGGTATTGATTAATTTTTGCTGCGTACGAAGATAAGGAATCTAGATCTGTATTCCCAACTGTCTACCTTTTATAGTTTCCGCGATCACAGCGTTCACACAAACAGAAGGAGAGACGGAGATGGCTAGATCGACTAAGCTAGTAATCCTGAATATACCTACTCTATAGGGTCGTAAACGCTTCCTTCTACCTGTTACATACTTTTCCCCAAATACAATATACCCTTTTACTAACGGGTATAAAAGTTCATTGTGTATATTTTGATAAATTTCCTTGATATTGACTTCCATTTAGGATAAATGGACTAAAAGCTATAAGTAAAGACCCTATAGATGAATTTAAAATTACACATGTCTACTTCTGTCGCCCTTTTAAAGTTTCACTAGTTTTTTTTAATTTAGTGAGCTTTATAACTGCTTTTATTTTGTACTTTAATGATGTTTCGCTAGATGATACTAAATAACTAAAAATGTAAAGCCAGGTGTTAATTACTTAAAAGCATTCACGCATCCAATTTTTAATTAGCAAATTAGTTTACCCCAAATGTACAATGTCTGATTGGCGGACTGATTAAAAACAGGACAAAAATAATACATTTGGGAAGTGTTTTCTGTATTGGCTCATAGTATAAACACATAAATTCAATTTAATGGAGAAACTTTTTTCGGCACCCTTCGGCAAAACATATCAGAGGCAAGATGGTGTCTTCGTTCACTTACCCTTCACGGAGACCGTGACGCTCTGCAAGACCTCCAGCTTCTTCTTGTTGGTGGGTGACTGGCCCACGCACTTGTACATGCCCGCGTCCTGGTACATGACGTCCTTCAGCGAGAACTGGCCCGTGGGCTGGCTGCTGCCGTAGCCAAGGCCACGCAACCGGGCCGAAATGGGGTCCAAGTGCGACCAGCAGCCCAGGGAGCCTAAAACGAGGGAGGGGAGAAGGGACATGAAAGCCAGTGCATAATTTAATTAATTGACTTCCAGGGACTCGGCACGCAAGTTTTAATTTCTTTAATTGATGCGTCACTCCCACGGACGCCGAGCCATTTGTCTATCTTCGCCATTTGGCCGAAAGTGAGCAAAGTAAATTGCACGCATAATTAATTTCCAATTGCGCTAATTAATGAAGAGGCGGACAAAAGGCCACGACTCGACCCGATCGAAAAAGAAAGTAAAATGTAAAATGTAATTACGGCCCAGACGCATTTGTCATTCTAAATGGGCCACGAATTCGGCAGTTTCGCCCCGCCCAAGAAGCGTATTCCTTTGAAGTTCTGGGCCCACGGGAAGTTGGCAGTCGGCCGTTCGTATCGCTTACCTTGAGGACACTGCAGGGTTACCGCTCCGCCCAACTGCACTTCCAGCTGGCCCTTGTTGGGGTTGTGCGAGGCAGCTGCCACGGAAACATCCTGATCATCCGGCTCCGAGGTCACATCCACCGAATCGACTGAAAAGATAAAGGACATAAAGCAGAAGCCGTCAGTTAGGGCTGCAAACTTCCGACCACATGGGGCCTAAGCGTACACGGAGAATAAATGGGGTGAGGAGCTTGATATAATTACCAACAAATTCCTGCTTCATTGAATTACTCAATCACACAACATTTCAAAATACACTGCTTATCCAGAGGAAAAAACTCGCCAATCATGGAACACAAATATATTTTTGTCTTGCATTTTCATCTTCTTGTTATGTATGTCGGAAAACAAACTGAAAATCATAGAATCGCTGCTTCAGACCAGCAATTTGGTGCCGTGCAAATCCCAGGGATGTTGGCAATTGTCAAATGTGACAATATTTCAATGACAGAGCCAGCAACAAATTGCTGACGCGGTGCGAACACCTGAGTCACTCCGCAATGAGTTGTCACTTCCGTTTTGATGCCAACTAAAAGTGAAAATCGCTGCTCGCCTAGCTGGAAAATTGCCTGGGCTGCAATCTTCTCCACCGCAAATTCATAAATACATATATTTTATGGTCGTTTCCGGGGGCGGGAAGGGGCCACAACGATGTTCCATTCTAATTTTGAGGGGCGGGCAGCACACACTCCCATATTTTCCACTTTCCATGCCGGGAGGTGGCTTTAAATTTCAGGGCGTCCTTTGTGCGGCGTACTTTATGGGCTGTTCATATTACGGTATAAATAACAATTTTCCTGACATGTGCCTAAAAGTGTGCGGCAGGTACGAGGTCCTTTGTCTGCCACCGGATATCATAACAATAAGTTGCCAAGTGGCGACCTGGCGAAGAAAAATGCGATGATGGGGACAAAGCGCTGAGCCTTACAAAGTGCCGGATCCCGGGAGAAGTCCACAGAACTCCTCGGGTCAGGGCAGTCTTCAAATTAGCAGACCCAAAAGTGAGCCGCACAATTAACAGAAACTACTAATTACCGGGGCACCTTTAATCGATGGCGAAGCCCCCGAAGTTCCGCAGCCGAGATTCGAGAAGGGGTAGGGTATTTCAGGAGCAAAAGAGACAATTAGTTGTAAGCTCCTTTCGCCCCGGAGACTCTTCATCGCATGTCAATCAGCCGACAGCCAACCCTCGACCGGGGTTTATTGCTGACAATGGCAAAAGTCCTCCCCTCGGCAGACGGGCGTGTTACTTAGGCAAAATCACGTAGTTATAAAATTTTTTATTGCCAACACAAAGGCGGACAAAGGCGTCGTCGCCCAAATTGACAACTTCAATGGCCAGCAGGGGGTCGGGGCGGAGTCCCATTACGGCTAAGGGAACTGGTGTTCTGGTCTTCTGGTGTTCTGGTGCAGCCCTGACTGAAACAAGAACCCTCTGTCGCGGAGCCAGCGAAAATGTCTAATGAGCTCTGCTCGTCTCGGCTCAACTGACAGACATTTGTCATTGGCCAAAGGCTGGCGGCGGTTTTGGGGCGATGTGATAAGAAAAGTGTCTAAAGGAGTCCACAGAGGCAGAGAAAAATCCCTGAAATTTCCCATTAATTTGACGCGTATCTGGGATGTGCCAGCTTCACACTTTAAAAATTTAAATTGTTGTTTCTAGCCCATTGAAATTATACTTGTAAGGACTGCGGGGTCACCAAACCCTGTTTTAAAAGCATCCGAAAATGTTACTTTGTATTTATCCAGTCAGAGTATCTTACAATATCCCTTTATATAGATGGCACTACGGACAAAGGAACGATGGTAGAGGGCTGTCAAAAGAACATTATTAAACGATACATTAGACGCCCACGCTCTCGAAGTACTCAGCTTAGAAATCGATTCCCTTCCCCGAGAACCCAACTCCTTCAATACTTCCCCAACACTCGCTCACATTCATAATTTCAGCACTTGTTTCACGCATATTTTACTGAATGGCCATTCATAAAAGTGTCCTCCCACTTCGAAAAGGGCCAGAAAACAAATAAACAAAGGCAAACAAATGGGCATCGAGTACCGCCCATATGGCGACAGTGAGGGGATTGAGAGAAAAGGTCCTTGAAGAAAGGGAGAAAGTGATTCTTACCGCACATCTTTTGGCGACGAGGCCCACTCGAGTAAATCCCAACTCACAACAACAGCAAATATGAAGGGCAAACAGCAAACACTAATGCAAACAAGGGGATCAATACGACGGGGCAGCCTGGAGACCGAGCAATCATTAATCATAACGCATCATCATCAGCCACGTTGGCGTTTCGCCTCCGAGAACCCAGGGAGTTCGGGGGATGTGCTCGCCTGTCACTTCCAGAGATCCCATGAGAACTGCCGAACCCTCGCAGAGTGTATCGATGTGTCGACACATCCTATCCGCTGTCCGAAGTGTGAATTTGACGGCCGGCGTGATCCATAAATCCTTCAGCACTGCAAAGTTTCACTCTCGACGGCGGGTGGGCAATGCTGTAGGTGAAAAATTAAATTCTTTGGCGAGGGGCTTCAGCAGTTTTTTGCTTGCAACTTTCATTAGCACTCCCGCCGCCCCAGATTAATTTGCATTTTTTCCGCTGGCTCTTCATCTTCGCAGTTAGTCATGAATATGAAGGAGGCCGGCGAGAAGCAGCATCATCATCATCGCAGGATACAATCAGCTTAACTTACAAGCTGCATAAACAGCCAGCGGAAGCGGCAGAGAGCAAACTCGGGCTGCTGTGATTGCATTTGTGTCTTGGTTATAAATTTTAATTTTCCCTGCAGCCGGGAGCATTCTGAAGACTTTCAGCGAACACGCGATTAATTTGCAATGAGTTGAAATTGAAGATGATTGCACTGGATGCGAGATGCAGCGGGCGGAACGGGGATTCCAGCAGATAGTAGTTCATTTGAGGAGGGCGGATGCAAATTGGTGGGGCGCAGTCGAAGACACTGTGTCTTGCTCCACATCCATAAAAGATAATCTCTCGGCAAATTTACGTTTATGCCATCGAGGCGAGGGGAAACTTTGCGGCCATCAAAAATACTCTGCTCCGAGACATTTGTCCGCAATGAGTTTTTAATATTTCTGTAAGTTGCCCAGAAAAAGGCACCCAGTCGAAATGAGTTTCGGTTTCATCTGAGGCAGCGCCAAATAAAATTTTATTGAAAATCCTTGCGGGACGTGGGACCCTCGACACATACCGAAACATAATCGCCGGCTATAAAAACAAAGGCAGCAAACAAAAAACTAATAATCGTGCGCGCCGATAAACACAGAAATCCAAGATGGCCAAAGCTGTGGCGAAGGACGAGGAGCAGGACATGGGACGTCTTGTGGGGATGGTCGAAGGACAATAAAGTTAAACCGCGATAACCAGCATGACGAAGGATAATGGATAACATGGCCAGGACTCTCCGATCGGCGCAGTTGGGCCGTAAGCAATGGCTCGCAATCGAAATGCTTACGATAGCGTGGAGAATTAAATTTTATTGTAATGCGCCCTCAGTTAGGAAAGGCTCGAGTGTCCTGTATCCGCTGGGACTCGTTTGGCCTGCTTCAAAGGACGTGTGGGCTTCTGTTTGTTTCTCCTCCAGAGTGGTTGACAATGTGGCAGAGCCTTGCGGTGTTGGTGGTGCATTTTCTTGACAGTTGGCTGGGCAAATCAGTTCAGGGCGAGGCGAATGCAATTTGCACATGGATTTCGGTGGCAGGGCTAGCCGCAAAAGTGACCCTGGAGAATAAGATGGAGTTGAGTTCTGTCACCGGAATGCTGCAGACGATAATCAAAGTCCTTTGTGCGATTAAATAATTGGCTTTTGAACGTTTTCCCAAATTAGTTTACACACTAATAAAATGGATGGAGCTGTATGTATAGGTTAAACATAATATTTACTTTTCCTTTAAGTGAAACGTGTGAACAATTAAAGCACCTTTTGTTCATTCTGCGGCATGTATGGATGTCTAAACATCTTCGCATTTTTGCTCTACATTCCAAGTCATAGAAACACTTTTTTTGAAAGAACTCTTGATTTTCTCCCACACATTCGATATGCCTCAGAAGCCTTTTTCTGCCAGATTGCTCGGATTGGGAAACTTCGCTAATTGCACATTGTTCCAGCAAGCCACTCAACATTAATTAGCCCCAATGAGAACTTTAACTTTAACTCATTAATGAGGCTGGCAAACAGAACTTCGGTCAATGGGCCTGGCTTATGTGTACCTGAACGTGGCCCACTTGCAGGACTTGAGTCCTGGCCCCGCGTCACGCCCGCCGCTCCTGTTGACGTACGTGTCAAATTAGCGACGTTTTAACAAGCTCTCCGTGTCCTGTGTCCCGAGCCCCGAGTCCTGCGTCCTTAGTCCTGAGTTCGGAAGCCTCCAGACGGGCGAATCAATCACGCGAAAGTGGCCGGCGCAGAAAACTTTGAGCAACTGCGTCCAATTGCCTACTTTTGCGGGCCCTCCGCATTCCGCTCTTGGCCGTTCTTTTTCTTTTGGCAGGCATCGCTGATTGCTTTTTCATTGCAGTTCGTCAGCGTTGTCCTCGTTGTTGTCGACGGCAAAGTTTTTCCCTCGCTGCTGCTACCTGTGCTACCTGTTTTCCAGCTCAATGGCGAGATCCAGAGGAGGAAACATATCGTCAGCAATTAAGCCCGCATTCAGACGTCTGACTGGGACTCGGGATTCGGGATTCTCTCAGCTCCCCCGCCCAAATGCGATTTATCAGTTTTCCCCGACTTGAATGTGTGCCGTGCTCCCCCGAAATCAAAGTCTTCCCCGGCCGCCATTTATCATGGGTCGGGCAGCTGTTTTATAGTTTATGACAGGCGAGTCGTGTCTGTGCTTCTGCCATATCTTATAGGTACACATATAGGACGCCGGTTGTCGCAAATGGGGTTTAGATGCCGACTGCTGCCAGTTGGATCTGCCATTTCGGCAGTTTGCTCCGCTCCGTCCGCTCCGTCCCTCGACCGGAGTTCGAGTTCGATAAAACGTTTTACAAATTGATTTATGTGCTTAACATGTTGCCAGCTCAGCGTCTCTCACAATTAGATTCCGCTGGAAAATGCGGAGAAAAGTTTTCTTTTCTTTCTCCTCCTGGCGGCCCCCATCAATCATCGATAATGTCGATGGGGCGGCCGTCTCCGTCACTTTTTGGCCTTTTGGAAACATTTTTCCTTGTTTTTATTAATAAAGCATTTGTTTTCCCCGTAATGAGCAGCGACAGGCGGCTGTCAAGAGTGGCGAAAACTCTGCCCCAGGGGATGGATGGGATTTGGGCCTGCCGATCCCTGCGACGGCATAAAAAGTGGCAACACTTTGTCAAGCTGTTATTACCAATATTTTATTTCTCTAGTTCGGCTTTCCGTTTTGGCCGTGATTGATGAGCGAGTTCTCGGGGGGACTAAGATGGATTTCGAGGGGCGGCAGTGCAGTTCTCGATTCCTTGAGCTCCTTCGATTGCATTGGCCGCCTAATGAGGCTGCAAATGAGTTTTCTCGAGACATATAATTCGATTTGGCGGTTTGATGGCTGCTTTTAGGCCGGCTGTCAGGGCACAAATTCAATAAAAATATTTACCAGCATTAACACGCGCTGAGCGCATAATGTGCCGCACATCGCCCGACCAAAGAGGTATAAAACCCAACCCGCAAAACGGAAAATATTGACTGCAAAATGGCGCGTAAGCGTGAATAGTAGAGGAGGCGGGGGCAGACACCCACTCAATGCCAATGCCAATGCCAATGAAATTTGCCACATTTTGCATATGACAGGGGGTGGCGCCACAAGGCGCCTCGCAAAGTGCCGGGAACATCCCCGAAAAAATCACCGAATATTGTCCTCAGCGCCATGTGCGAGTGTCGTAAAATGTTCGCTGATTTTGTTCATTTTTTTCGAGGGTTTTCGAGGGCTTTACAGGGTTTCTGAGGGCTTCGGCCGGTGGTGCTGCCAGCAATTTTACTGACACAAACTAATGGGCAAAATATTATCACGCGCCATTTTTAAGGCAATTTCACGCATACGCGGTCTAATTTACGGCCTGCTTTACGGGGTACTCACATCGCACGCTGAGGTAATAGCCAATCGACGAGTACTGGAAGTTGAGGTGCCGGGACGTGCACTTGTACCAGCCGGAATGCTCGCGCCTTATCGATGTGAAGTTGAGGAATCCATCGCCCGTTTGCGGCACCTGCAATAGTCGGAAATGGGAAATCAGAGTGTTAGCACTTTGGCCTGGAAACGGGAAATGGGAAATGAGTTTGGCTCGTTATGCGTAAACAATTTTTGGTAATTAAGGCAAGGCAAATAGTTTCGCGCAAGTTTTGGCTTCGCAAGGTAGCGACAACTGCACGAAAATCCATTTAAAACTTGCTCCTTGGCCAAAAATCACACAAAAGGCCGAACTCCGATGGGCGGCCTACGAATGCACGAGGCCCACGCATTTCCACTTTTCCAGTTTTCGTAACTCGAACGCACAGGAAAAAATTCTATATTTTTTGAATAACCAATGTGAGCATAGATAAAAATAATAATTTGGCTAGATTTAGCACAAGCTCTCAAAGATCAAATAAACATTTGTCAGATTTATTGAAAAAGCTAGTTAAAATAATATTACTATCATTATAATGTTATATTAGAATTCGAATAATTTTGTCATAGAGAAATATATCTTTAATACCTTTTAATACCTATTGATATGTAAGGATAAGATAAAGAAAAGGCTTTTATTTGATTATATCAAAACAATATAATGTTGTAAATCCGTTCAAGAAAAATAATACTGTTTTTTAATATCCGTCCAAGTTAAACTAAATTGTTTCCGTCACTTACTCCTCCATCAGGACTCTGAAATGCCTAACCTTACTTCCTAATCGCTAAGAGCCTACACGGACTGGAAAGTATCTGAACTTTTTCCTGTGCACTTCTCAATGGCCCAACTTACCGGCGTGTCACCGTCGTCCTTCTGCCAGCGCGGAGTGCTCGGGGGATTGGAGTCGACGTCGCACTTGAGGCTGACCTCGATGCCCTCGCGGAGCGGATAGCCGAAGCCAGGTGTGCGGGATATGGCGAAGGAGGGCGTGTCTGCAACGGGACAGATGGTTATTTCGGTTGACTCTTCCGCAGATTTCGGCGCTATCACCGACTAGACTGTGGCAACATCAACAAAATAGTTTTTTAATTAAAAAATTACTCAAAAGCAGGGGTACGAACTGGGGGCAAGAAAGAAAAACTTTTATAATTAAACTAAATGCAAACGTTAGGCGCAGTCTGTATTGGGAGGAAGGTAAATAAGAACGCGTTTATTGTCGTACGAGTTGCGAGTGGATTTCTTATTGCAGTTTAAATTAGGAGGGGTTAAGTGATGAAATTTTTGCCCGAATTTGTAATCTTTAAAGCTGGGCGGACAGAGTTCTCCCGAAGGGATCACGATACTCTTCTAAATTCGCAATTTTCATTTTGATTTGTTTGTAACTCCACACACTTGTCATTGCTTTCCTAATAGACCAAAATAGGTTCTGATTAATGAAATGTGTAGCCAAGCTGACAGCACTCAATTACCAGCGAACCAGGTGTCAATTAATACAGCGCTCCATTCAGAGTAGCCCGTGAAGTTTACTTAGTTAGCGGCATTGAATTCGTAATATCATTTTCAGTTTTGGCGTGTTCGGCGCTCTTTATTTCGGCAGCCACAACTCATTCCGGTTCGTCCAAAAGTAATTCGATATACGATTCAAAATACAACTTCGATTTCAATCCCAAACTGCCAATCACAAATCCATTCAGTGCATGTCAAAAAGCCATCGACAAAATGTAAATCTAAATGTAAATGTAAATAATGGGACGCCCCGCCCAGGCAGACATGTGCACTCCTATTCAATGCATATTCATAGGCATAAATCAAATGTTTTTTAATTAGTGCTGGCCATTTGGCAGGTCTGGCCAAAATATGCTACCCAAATGGGCCTGCATTCATTTCAATCTTTTCAATTTTTCGGCGCACCAGTCGCCTTTGTGGCCTTTTGTAACTAATACAATTTGATTAGGCGCCCGGAAAGGGTCTGCAGATGCCGAGGGACAAATGAATTTGTTTGTCGGTTGTTTGCCAAACTATTCAATTCAGCCTCCGATCCTGTCGATGTACGAGTAGTACGACCGGCAGCCAGACAGCCGTCAGTCGTCAGTCGTCAGACGTCATACATATTTATGAATGGGCTGGAAAAACAACCCGTGTCTGTGGTGTGTGATGGTGGTCCATCAATTTGTTGACTCAAACCGGGCGACACAAAGGCTGGAAATTGTTTAACTGTTTGGCCATATTGTTTTCAGGCAAGGAAAACAATTACTGGGGAAGGGCCGGTTTTAAAAATGCACTTTGGCATCTTCTCAAATTGCTCAAATTAAAAGCAAAATGTTGGCCTAAAAAGCTCTAATTTAAATGGAAACCCAAATATTTTCTTTGCTCCTTCAGTTGACTTTTCCAGCTTAAATTGTTCAGCATTTCGGGGAGCAGTGATCCCTGTCCATGTCCTTGATTTGTCTGTCAACTGTCTGCATAAAAATGCGCAAATTAAACGCAGCACTCACTACAGATACATTTACAGATACAGATGCGGATGCGGATGCGGACTGGGATGCGGATACAATGTCTATGGGCTGGGCAAACGCTCTCATGTGTGTGCATTTTAATTTATACAAGCGCAGAAAAGGGGAGCGGGAACAATAAAAGGAAAAACAGGACGAATCAGGACGAACTTGTTCCTTCTTTTGTTGAACCCGGAAAACGTTGCGGTTGTTCTTGTTGCTGCTCCCGTTATTATTGTTTGAGGCCTCGTGCTGTTGTTATTGCGGTTTTTGCAATTTTCATGCCTGGCCAGAGCCGAAGCCCACACACAACACACACGGCACACACCCGCACACCCACACAATCACACTCACACTCACACCAAAGCACGCAAAACATCAAGGACTCTGTGCCATGCAAATCCCACACGGCTTTTCTATATTTTCCAATCATTTTCATGGCTCTCCACTACCTGGGCATTTGTCAGGGCATTATGCGGCTTCACGGGCATTAATAAAGCAAATAACTGTGGTCCGTCCCCGGATCCTGGCGCTGATTGAGACCCTCCTCAGGGCGAGGACCCGGCTGGTGTTCGGTGTCCTGGTGTCCTGGTGTCCTGGTGGCCAGGACGTGTGTGCGGCTTTTTGCTGCCAATTAGTGCTAGTCTTCCAATTGTCGCCTCGCCTCATCGACCCACCGACCGGCCACTGGCATTGATTCCCAATTCCATGTCCGGTTGCGTCACTTCTGCGGTGTCCCCAGGACTCGTATCTTTATTTCCCGGTTTTGTTGTGGCTGCTCGTGGCATGCATATTGTCCACCTCAATTGGTCACGAGTCGGACTTCGCAGGGACTCCTTTAAAGCGATTCCATTGTTGCGCGGAGGGAATCATCTCAGGTGCAATTCGGTTGATGGATGGGAAGGTTAGGGGTCACGACGACCAATTCTCATAGAGGTATTGTTTATGCTGCTAAACATGTGCTGCGATAATTCCAGTACAAGGCCATCGGGGTCACCAGTCAATATCAGCGTGTATGAGCATATGATAGCCTGTCCTTATCTGACCTCAACATTATTGTTTCTCGAGATCTCCAAGTAAAATGAAGGCTACGGGGCTTATGAAAATTAAAGCTGCGAATCCTTCCTCCTTTCTCTCGACACCTTCTTATTTTAAGCTAATTGAGAGTCCTGCAATCCTCTCGGGCCTCGAATTTCCATTAATTCTCCTCTTTCCTCAGCAGCTTTTGCCCCTGCATTTCAATTGTTCGCTGGCGTCCTTTTCTCAACTGTCGCGCTTTCTTTCGCCTTCCTCCGGCCGGTTTCATTGCAATTTGATTTTACCTTTCCTTCTGGTCCCTTTTTGCTGTTTCAATTAATACAATTTCACCTTTGCTTTCGGTTACTCCGCTGACTTTGTTCGCTGCAGGTGCATAATAATTTTCTGTGTTGTTTCATTCCCTGCCCAGCTGGCCCTCAGCTGCGATTCTGCCGAGCTCTTGTCCCGGCTGGCGGCGTGTGTTAACTTTCGCAATTTAACTTTTCAATCAACATTTACTTTTTGGTTTCACTTTTATTTGCATCATTCCACTCTCGTTTTTTGCCCTCCTTAAGGTAATTAAACGTGGTGAGATATTCGCCCTGTTTGGGTTTTATTAAAAGTTCGGGTGACCTTACCATGATGACTCACTGAAGCACTGTTCATTTCTGGGATTATTTCAGCTCAATAAACAGTGAGATGGGCATAAATTCGAGAGAACTCAATGACAAGTGGTTTTTAATTAGGGTTTTTTATTTGTGTGTAAATTACACGTTTACCCTATTCATGTTCTGACAAACTAATCATATCCGAGAAGTTTGATAATGAAATAATTTTATACTGTCATATTATATATAATATATATAATATATTTAAATAAAATAATTAAATATTTTTTAAAAATTTTAACCAAACAAAACAATAATTAGTGGTTATAAAAACATAAGGAAGGCTAAAAATATTCCTAAGAAGGCTACTTAAAAGCATCCCAAACTTACACTGCACATCCAGCAGAAGCGAGGCGTTTTGTCGAATTTTCAGCGTGGGATGCTCCATGACGCACAGGATCCGAGCGTTATGATGGGCTCTATAGACCGCGGGAAGTCGGGCCTCGCTCTTCGCCCCACTGTTGATTTTGTAGCCGTCCTTGTCGATCTGCGGGGGAGGGGAGTCCAGATAAATTCACATTCAAAATTTATGCTAAACACTGGCAAATTGGGCCAAATGACAGGCGGCTGCTCGGGCGGCCAATTAGTCAGGCCTGTTATCAGCGCGACATCATTAATTTAAATTAAAGTCCAAGGGCAAGGGCACCCACCTTGCCGAACACTACTCCGTGCGACTCACCACCCAACCACCCACCCACCAAACACCTCACACCACCCACCATTCACCGCCCGCTGTGGCTTTGGCATGGAAATTTTGTTGGCACAGTTTTCAATCAATCATCGGGGGGCGGAGTGGCCGTGGGTGGCCAGTGGTAAGTGGTAAGTGGGATGGGGTTGGGTTTGTGACCAGCCGAACACGCAAATTTGTGGCATTTAGGGTCCAAGCGACAAGCACCCACACACCCACACACACTCGTCTCCTGGAAGACACTGCCTGGGGCCGTGTGTGTGTGCTTGACAGGTGGAAGTGGGGGCGAAGTGGGAGTGGCGTCGAGCTGACTAAACTCCTGCATTGCTCAACCGAATGTCTGCTTTTCATTATGCTCGAGTGCAAGACAAACAAATTTGGCCCGACCGCAAACTGGGTTCAGCCAGTCGTCCGGAAGAGCCGTTGTTTGGCCGGCAGCCGCTTTTGGCCACACCTAATGTGTTTGTTGGCCGGCGATGCTGTGGTTTTTCCACTCCAGCCGAACGGCCATTACCAATCCCATTCGGACATCCCGCCACTTGTCACTCATCGGATCGGAGCCCTGCCCGGCTTACCTTCTCGCCCTTGATCTCCTCCAGCTCCAGGACCTCGGCGGACACCTTCTGGGCGTGCCGGTCCACGCCGGGGCTGAGGAGCACCTCCCAGGTGAGCGAGGGTCGCGGGTTGCCGCCCTCGCTCACGCAGGCCAGGTTCAGCTCGGAGTTCTCCTTCACGGGCACGAACAGGTTGCTGGCGTCCAGGCGGCGGGAGTCGATCAGCAGATACGGCGGCTTGGGGCGATCTGTGGGTGGGATGCGTCAAGAGGAACATTAGTAAAATGGATAAGCAAGAAAATTTGATAATTTGATATTTACACAAAAAGGCACACAGAGAAAATTATGACGTTCTGAAATTGAGTATTTGTATTCTCAATTTGAACATGTACTCAATTTAAGTACAAAATTTATGGAAAAAGCTCATGTTGAGAAAAGCTGCACTCATTTTAAGAAAAAGGACTTGAATTGATCGCAAAATTCTAAGTTTGAGGAAATGTGTTCTTAAATTTCCAACTTGAGAATTAATATTCTCATTATGAGTAACCGATAAACTCAAAAATGAGTTGCGAATTCTCATAAGGAATTCTAGAGAATTCCGTTCTGCGAACGAGACGAGACATGAGCGGCCTTAAGTTCATTGCGTATGTGGTTGTCTCTCTCTCACTAATGGGTGTGTAAAGTGGTGCGCGCCGCATTTGTGTGACTGTCATTTGCCGTGTGATTTAGCAAAGTGAAGACGTGCGCGTAACTCAAAGCTAAAAAACTATTTTAGTGAATTGGACATTCGTACGACCCTTCCGTACCTCGGCGGTAAGTTTTTTAATTTAAAGTGTATTTATAATGTGCTAAACAATGATACAGTAACCAAACACTGCAAAAATATTGCCAAAGCGTGTACATTAATATGTTTGTACGTGTGATTGTAAGTGGCGTGATGCAGTCTAGTTTAGTTAGTTTATACGTACATTGTACATACATACATACACATATAATTAAATATAATATTAAATGTACATTTAATAACATTCTAATTTTATTGTTTCATATATATGCATATATATTTACAATATTTGCTAACAATAACGTTTTCTATTTCAGCCTATTTGCTCTTCGCTAGACCAGACAGCTAAGGGAAAAAAAAATAACCTAGAACACGGAACATGTATATATATAACTGTATTACAAAATAAAATAAAAAAAAATATTTTACCCTTTTTTCTGGGAATGGGTGGCGCGGGTTTAAGTCCAAAAGTTCTTCATTTGAGAATTTAGAAGTTCACTATCAAGAACTTGTTTCTCATTTTGAGCGCTGGAAATTTCTCAGTATGAGAAAAGGGGATACTCGTTTCCAAAATTCAAGCTAAATTATTTCTTAAAATGAGTGCAGTTTGTACTCATATTGAGGAAAATTGTTCAAGAAAGAGCACAAATGTACTCAGTTTAATTACAAATTTTTTGAGAAATTTGTACTGAAAGTGAGTTTTTTGCACTCAATGTGAGAATTTTTGTTCATGCTGAATTTTTGAGTACAAAAATACTCAATTTGAGTGCAAATTACTTGAATAATTCTCTCTGTGCAGTATTACTATATCATCGGTATAATAAAAGATCATAAGATCTGTGGTCTACAAGTGTTGCCTTATCATATTCCTTTGTAGATTAATCATTACTATGGTAATAACAGACAATATAATATTGCAAGTGGGACTCAACAAATATATATAGTTTCTGCTTAGAACAAAAGGAAAGCTTTTGATTTCGAAAATAAATCAATATTAGGTATTCAAAAAATATTTTTTTAATCTTGCATATCGTTAAAAACCATATAGTATTCCTTTACTATGATGTTTATCCCGTGATAAAGATAGCTTTAGCCCTAACAGTAATTTTTGAATCAATAAATGAAGCTTAGGGCAGATTCCCTCAGTTTAGTTGCATTCAGAACATGCGCTCGAAGAGAAAATCCCAATGTTTACCAATTCTGGGGCACGACCTTATCTTAATTTCGAGGATGCTTTTTGCTGCCAGTGATGGCGTGGCCATAAAAGCGAGCATTTGCCAGCGCCAACTTGGCCTCGTCCCCGGCTAATTTGGCAAATGGCTCGACACGACCCCTTTAGTATTTGTCTAAGCTGCTGGCCAAGTCGAGACTGCCCCACCCAAGTGGGAAGGGGAAGGTGGAAGGTGGAAGGGTGAGAGTGGGTAAGACTAGGATACTCACCCAGGACGACCAGCTTGACGGGTCGGGCGTTCTCCGTGTAGCGCCTCGTGTTCTCCGCCTCGCACTGCCACTTGCCGTCGTCCTCGAGCATGACGTTGGTGATGGTTAGCGCGCCATTAGCCTCCTTGATAAAGCGGTAGTCGGTGACGCGGGCGGTGCGGTCCATGGCGTGGACCACCTGCAGGAGGAGAAAGAGAGCGCTGGTAAGTTTGCGCGGCGATAAAGCTAATGTCATTGGCGGAATTATGCAAAGCGCCTTTTGAAACTTTTAATGCAGCGCATTAAATGCCCATAAATTTCCCCCATTAAATGCAATCCGCCCTGCTCGACGAGCCGGGCGGCGAAACAATTGCATTTAATGTTTTCATATCCATTTATTTACACTTGGGCATCGCTGGAATTTTATTACAACTCGCTCCAAACAAACACAATACTCGTAATGACAATTAAATGAGGACGATGGCCCCCGCCGCCACACATGTTATCCACTGGTAATGTGGCAACAATGAACTGGCGGCTTAAAAACTGTAGCCAATAGTTGTTGGCCATCCCTGTCTGTCTGTCTGTCTGTCTGCCTCGGGCTTAATGCAAACGGAAATTTATGTGCGCATTCAAATGCTCCAGCCGCAGAGCACAAAAAATTATGAAGAATGCGAGAACAAAAAAGTATGAATACGAATATGAATATATGTGGAAATGTTTCGCACGCTTAATGCGTTTAAGTGCCAATTAAATGTCGGGCTAAAAAGAGCGCGGTCAGCAGAGGGCGGCCATAAATGAAACACGATTTTAATTGCATTTGCAGGCGGAGAGATTAACTTTTGGGCTTGGATTAAGGCGGATGTCTGAGGCGCATTAAATTGCCAGGCTATACACTCCCTCAATTGGGTATATTCCATGTGATCCACACATATTTCGTTACGATTCTTGTTATACTTGATTTATTCACCTACAACCCTACAAACATTTAATAAACAAAGATGAATAAAGATTTTTTAAAAATAAAATCCATTTAATGGATCAATGCTATTTAAATAGAAATACAATCCACAATTTTACACTAGGATTATTCATTCAAAATAAAATGCTCCACTGAAAACTGGCAATATTGACCGGGCAAAAAATTGAACGAGGCACGGGATAGAAAATCCGTAAAAAATCTGTAAACAGAATATTTGTATGGTGCACTTCCGGTTCCGTTTGTGCGTTTGCGTTTGCCGTTGCCAGTTTTTGTTAGAGCTTACGATTCGTACGACTCGCCTGGTGTATATTTTTCAAATGCAGTGCAAATATTTATGCGTATATGAAATTCACTTCCCCAAAAGGGGCTTCCCCCGCCCCCCGCAGAATCGATGTGTGCGTGAGGCGACTTCCGGCGCGCATTTGCCGCAGTCGCCGCAACGGCCATTTGCAGAAAATTTATTAACCAACGACGCATTTGACTGGCAACTGGCAAACTGGCAAACTGGCAAAATGGCAAACTGGCAATGGCAAACTGGCGACTGGCAAAGTGGAAACTGGATTTTGCGTGCCTGTGCAGCGGGGCATTCAGTTGGAAATTTATGAGGTCGATGGCGATCCGAGGCTTTCTGGCGTCCACTGCATCCACTTCCACCAGGGCTAGTGTCCAGTGTCCAGTGTCCAGCGACCAGGCCTTTGGCACCTGGTCGTGTTGGATTTTTCTGGTTTGGCAACATGGCCGCCGGACAAAAGCGTTAAATGAGCGTGGCAAATCCTTGTTTACAGCGTCGAGCGTTTGGCCGGATTACACGCTCGATTGTTTCGGGCCTGCCATTGTTGGCGATCCTCTGACTGCGTTCCTGTTTTCGGGTAATTATGAATTCAGACGCTTTTGTTTTTCCTCGGCGGAGGGGCGGTGCGTGTGCATCTGTGTTGTCAGCTGCGGCGATTCGCATAAATTGCTGAATATTTTGAAGGCGAGCACGCATAACTTTGCATAATTTGTGGCCACGTTATCGGTGGACAGTTGAGGGTTTTGTAATTCTCTAATTGCATTGTTGGCGAACTTTCGGCGATTCGCGATTTACATTTAATTTTGGCCCAACCGCCGTTGCTCCCTTCTGCATGAATAATAATGCAAATTTATGTTATGCATTTTCCGGTTTCATCCTGGCCCCAAATTCACATTCCCCTCTTCTAATGGGGAAAATAATAAATGCCCCTTCTGAGCACACACTTCATTGACACTCGCTGACAATTAGCTTCATACTCCTCCGCGAAAGGGCAATCCCTCAGCTCCAACCATTCCGAGCAGACGCTTATTTCTTTCGAGTGGAGCCCAAGGAGCAGGGAGAAATGGCTACTTATATCTATCACTTGCTTGGAATTGCAAAAATCTTGTCAGCCAACATTGCTCACTGACTGTCGCACTCCCTGCCCCGTCCTCATCCCCAAGCCCATCCTGATCCTCCCCGACCCCGAGCCACTAACTCGAAATTGCTTTCGGCAAATATATTAGCCTCTTGATAATTTCCAACAATAAATTCCTTGGCACTCGCACAAGCAGACGCCCGAAGTGGGAGGATACCGAACCCCGTATCCTGGATGGGATGAACTCCTTTAGCTGTTGTTCCCGCTCGGGGACTCTAATGCATTGTGCAACGCTCTAGAAAGTACAACAAAAGTCGCTCATGTTGCAAGCTGTCAGTGCAACACTTGTCGCATGTCATTGCCGCAGTAGCAATGCAATGGGGCTTGGAGGGAGTGGGTGGTGAGTGAGCCAAGGACCGGAGTCAACGGGTACATGGAGCAACTGGGGATAATCACGAAATATATGTGTTTCTCCAGACCAGACCAGAGAACTTAAAGCCTTCGCTCGGCTACGACTTGATATTCTTTTTCTGGGGTTTCTCCCGAACGTTGCTGGTGGGTTAATTCTGTATCATTTATTTGCTGTTTCTTCAATGTGTTGCTACTGGGCTTCTTATAGATTTCTGCTGTAGATTTTTGCTGGATTTTCTAGTTTCACTTTAAGTTTCCATCGATTTCTCTGTAAAGATAGATTTTTCAGCACGTTTCCAAGTAGCTTGCTCAGAATGTTGCTGTGACGAAAGTTCTCCTTGTGTTTAATTTACACATTAAAAAGATTTTTCTGATTCTTCTCGAACTATTATTCCCGAGTAAGTTTCCCCCTTTAGTTTCTTCGGATTGTTCTATATGTTGCAGGTGGATTTCGGCAGAAGGAAAGAGCATTCGCTTGAGGGTGCGCCGTCCCTTTCGAATGCCCCCAACCTGCAACACACTTGCCCACAATGTTGCCGCATCACTGTTGTAATTGCCGCAGCCTGCTCGTTACTGTTGTTCTATCTCCCGCTCCAGGATGCCACCTCATCCTCGTCCTCATCCGCATCCCCATCCTCATCCTCGGCGCTTACACATGGCTGGCTTTGTTTTAACACAACTAATACAATTGCACCGCTGGGAAATGGCTGCGATGGCAGGCGGAGATGCGAGATACGATGGATGCTGCTCCCGGTGCTCCGGCTGCATTGGCGTTGATTTTATTTGCCATCGGAGCACTCAGAGTTGGCAGGAGCAGCCGTCGACCAGCGCCGACATTGTAACTAACTTAATAAACTTGTCAAAGGTACAGAGCGGCGGCGTGTTAGCAACTTAAGACTCGCTTTCCCGGCTTTCCCGGGATCCCCCGCTTTCCGCCGCCACCACGCGACTCCCCACTAAGTGGCACCGCATTGTCGCTCATTTTCATTTGGGATTTCTGAGGCTGACTGATTAATTTGCCGGCTTGATGTGATTTACGCTCTCAGCTGCACTTGCATCCAGGCCTCGGGATGGCAAGTTGCCCATTAAGGCTGCGTCTTAAGTTCGCTCCTAATTGACTAATGGAGGCTTATCGGGGCGCAGCTAGATAGGATTTGTGCCAGCAAAGCGGGTTTGTTGACCTTAAACCTGAGACCCGGCCATAAATAAGCTGCCAGCGCCACAAAGTGTGCAGCAGGGCGGCTGCAACCATAAAACTCCTATTTCCGACGACTCTGTTGCCGGGTTAAGGTTTATGTCTGGCAATTGTCGCCTGCGAAAAATATGGCTCTATAAAGCCAACAAATTGCCAGGCGAGACAAGAGACAGCGCGGTTAAGGACACCCTGTTGGTTGAGAAAGGGATTCGCGGGATCTGACGCATTTCTCGCCAAATAAAATAGCTAATGCGGGTGCAATCACATCGCTGACGCCGTTGGCAATCCCGAGTTCAAATTGCTGACAGGCAACTTAGTGGCTCCGACGGAATCCAATACGGCTTGCATATGCAAATAACAACAAGTAGGCAAACAATCGCAGCTTGTGGCCCTAACAATGTTAGCCAGCTTCGCCCACAAGTATGCAACTCTTTTCACCGCCACGCGTCGAGTTGCTGGTGGCATGTTGCAGGTTGCAGATGGCAAGTGCAAAGGCAACAGCAACAGCAGCCAGTTAACTGCCACAGACAACAGCAACACCAGTGGCAACATCAACAACAAATAGCTCCGACACGTACACAAAGTGGCAATGCTGCTGCTGGCTGCAACTCTGCTGCTGCAGCTGCCGTGTTAGTTGCAACTATTATTTGCCCATCAACAACTTGGCCTGCCAGCTTGTTGTATTTACACCTGCCCAAGAGAGTGCCTCGGCTGCGGCCCACACATATTTGCAGCAATGCAGAGGCCTACTAACTTAACTGCGAGGCTTGAACGCCAAATTGTAGGGGTTCATAAAGTGCTGGGCCTGCTCTTTTTCGGACCAGTTTGGCTCCCTTTGGAGGTCTACATAGAGCTATAGTAAAATAATTTGCTAAAGAATTCGCGGCTTTCTGGTTATATTATAGTGGACTGCAGTCCACGTAGTGACGAAGCGCACCATGGGAGTGTATCGCAAAAACTAAGAAAATCTACTGGTTTGGGTGAAAGACAGTTGAAAGTGTTGATGGGAGAATGTAGAAATTTTGATCTGTTAGGAATAAATGCTGTTGCAGAGTTCCGAATGAGCCAATTTAAGGAAATGTATTTTTTTTGTAATAATATTTTGTCAAAAAATAGTAGTTTTTCATGTTGAAGGTGCGATCGTCACGGCCTCGTTAAGAGGTAATTTTGTTTGATTGCTATGACCACTCGAATGAATTGTTCAGAATATATATTATAATTGGAATCAAAGACAAAGTTATCATCCATTGTTATAAATTTCGAGTCAGCGATTGTTGATAGCCGTGTAGAAAACAATTATCAAAGCAATTAAATTGTAAAAGTATCTTCGTTTCTTAAGTGGTGCAAAGCTGTCAGCCAGAGCATAAACTATAATCCATGGTGGACAATTTTTCTGAGGTAAGGCCCTTTCAGGAACAACAAACATTCATAGTTTTGAAAAACTGAGAAATCATACAACACTTAAGGTAAACATCATTTCAAAAGGCCTTTCCAACATCACTAATGAGGATTCCATTAGGATTCCGGCATTGCCATGTCCTGCTTAAGGAATTATCTCTGTCGGGACTGTATTTGTTTGCAAAAAGTGTGTGCAAAACATTCTTAGCACTCGGCAAACTGTTATAATTGCATTATGCTGAGAGGTTTTTTGCCCGGCAGCTTGCCACTGTTTGCGTTCGCAATTACAACTCAATAACTTTCGGCTTTGCTGGCGGGTTAACTTTTACTTCATGCTTTCGTTTTTGTTTTTTAAACAATTTCAACTGTAGCCATCATTTCTAGCCAGCTTGTGGGCGTTCTGGCGTGGTAAAAACTCGTAATTAGAAGCCCTCGTAGCTGCATAATGAGGCAATCGAGCAAAAATGCGGCCCTCGAAAGATGAGCTCTGCCAGCGCTTTTGACATCAGAAACTATCAAATAATAACGATTATCCTATTTGCATAATGCGGCAGTTAAGCGACAAAGGACCGGAGTCACAGTCAGACACAGGGCAAAAGCCCTGCCACTCGAGACGTCTCGGCCAGAATGAGAATAAAGCCAGGAGCAGTCAGACAGACAAACAAAGAACGAAGACGGGAAGTGGGCAAAAGAATGCAGAAGGCTAAGAATGCAATTAAAGTCAGCACAAGTTGGCGGCGCCTGACAGCCTGAGAGGTCCTTTGCATTTCCAGGACCTTGGCGAGAGGCGAACTGTTTGGCGGGGACCACCCAACTCACCTGGCCGTTCTTGTACCACATGCTGGTGGCGATGTCCAGGTCCACCTCGCACATCAGCTTGATCTCGGAGTGCTGCTCGGCGTAGACCACGGACATCTCCTCGGCCTCGTAGGGGTTTGGCGGCACTGGTCGCAGGGGCAGGACCCTGGGCTCCAGCGGACCCTCGTCCTCCTCCTCCTCCGCCTCCTCGCGGCTCTTCCGCGCGATCAGGTCGCTGGTGCTGGTTCCGCTGTCGAACTCCTCCACGTCGTCGATGATGATCACCGGCTCCTTGGGCTTGGGCTGCAGGTCCTCGGGCGCCAGGTGGAGCGTGGACCGCGGCCGCTTGGCCTTGGTTTCGTTGTGGGCCGAGCTCCTGGTGGCCAGGGAACTCGTGCTGGTGGCCTGGACTGTGGTGGCCACCGCTGTGGAGGTGCTGGTCGAGCTGGCCGGCAGCAGGGAGTCCAGCTCGTCCTCCTCCGTCTCGCGGCGCTGCCTCTGCCTGGCCTCCTTGTGCAGCAGGGCGCGGTGGGCCTGGTGGTGCGGCTTCTCCTGCGCCCGCCACTTGGCCCACTTGACCTTGGTCTTTTGGCAGTTTTTGCCGCATTTGGCCGGCTTACCACCGCCGCGGTGGTCAACTGCATCCTCGGCCGACCCGACTGATATGCTGGGCCAGCTGGGGCTGCTGCTCCTGCTCCTGCTGAAGGCTTCCCGGTGCTCGGAGGGCTTTGTTTTCTGCACTGACTTGGCGTTGATATTCTGTGGTTGTGTATAGGTGGTACCTGCAATCGAAAGGCATGCAAACAGAATAAGCCGATTAGGTCGGTAAGTCAAAAACACACGGAAAAACAAAGTTGATGTTGTAATTGGAAAATAGTTAAAACAGATATTTGGGGTACCAATATATTAAAATACAGACATTTCAAGGTTATATTTTTTTAAAGAGAAGCCTACATTTTGCAAGGCTTAAAAAGCAACCGACTAAGGAGACGACAATTAGTGAGAAATTGTCATCTTTCAAAATCCAGATGTATCTGATCCGGATTTGGTGACTGTGTACTTAGTTGCACCTCCAGCTCCACTGGAATTTTCGGTCCCAAACGGCACCAGGAGAAAAAGACTAAAGGGCAACTTATGCTGGGGGGAGTATCAATTACATTGCTTTGTTGCATGTAGAATGCGTTCAGGGCTCATGCATTTATTTTCGAATTTTCAGAAGGCAAGCAGCCAGCAGCACTGATTGAAAAGCCGAAAAAGGAGTCGAACGATGTGGAGCGTCCTTTCGAAATGTTTTCCCAATGCATGCAAATCCTGGCCTAATCTCCTGCACTTTCAAAGCTATTTTCATGCCTAGCTCTGTGCCCCTCGTTTGTTGCTCTTTGACAACTCTGCTTATTGTCTCCTTCAGATCCAGCCCCGGCTTTCCCCTTTTCCGCCCCTCTCCTGTCACTCTGGATGTCTTCCTGCTAGCACTCCTGTTGTTGTTGATAAATTTACACAAGTGTATGACAAGCTTTCAAATGGTAATTAATATTCATCTGAGACGAGCTGCGAAGAGGACGGGCCTGGGCTTGGGTGTGGCAACTCCCTTCAAAGGACAACTGCCGGGTGTCTTCCTGTGCCCGTTCCCGCTTATGCGATCCCAAAGTCAACTGTAGCCGGCAGCTATCAGCAGCACTGAGAGAAAATGTCTCTCAAACTTGGAATTACAAATTTATTATTATATTTTAGATATCTAACAGTCGGATTTGATGAAATAACGCCTTGGCAGTTGATGGACAACGCTAAATCGGATCCAAAACAGACCCACAAATATATTTCAGATTTAAAATCACTTAAAACGATCTCTAACAGTATGAATTAATATTTTTTGAACTCAAAGGTCTGATTGATCCATTAAAAAGAAGGACGTTATTTCTGTCACTGCATTATAATATACTTAGCAACAACTTTTGATACTACAAAATCACAAACTTTCCAAATAACTAAAGTCTTCTAAAATTTCTCTGTCACAATTAGGAGCACTTTGCAGTTTAAACATAACTTTTCGATTATTATCACTCTTTCAGATAGGGCCTACACTCAAGATCTTTAATTTCGCTGTATACAGTAGTGATATACATAAGTAATGTAAGCAAGGCTCAGGCCAAGTATTATTTCCAATTTTTTAATGTCTAAGGCCCTCGTACTCTAACTGCGATTGTTGCAGAGTAAACTTAATAACAATATGGTGTTCAATATGACTGTAATCATATGTAAATGTAGTGAGGGTTATTGCCAACCGTACAACCATAAGATAATTGAGGGTATATGGAGATAGAACTTGATATGGATATCTATATATGATATGATTTTCTCTTCGTGTCGGAATGCGGAGCCAATGTCTGTGGTTAGCTGACAAAAGCAGATCTAGCCCCGGGAATAGTCTCTGAACCCTTTCTTCGCTGTCCTTCGGCCCTCTTTCGACTTTCCACTTTCCACTTCCCCCTGCCACTCCCATTCCCATTCCCGTTCCCATTGTCTGGCCGGCGCCTTTGTCTTCCAGCCCTTTTCTCGTCGGCAGGGCGTTACTCATCTCTTACTCGGCTGCCCGTTGGCTTTGTGTTTGTAGCTAAATTAAAGTTGTCATTTTTCAAGTGAACGCACAAAAGTGTGCAATGCGCCTAATAAATTTCTGCCTGGCATATCCTGCTATTCGGGCGAGTCCCATAGGCATAACTAAGGGGGGTTCTGGGGTTAGTTATGTACTAGTCGTAACTCCCTTCCAAGCACACACACACTCGCATTCATGTCCTTGAGCATGTGAGCGCTAAAATGTTTTCACAACAGCTTAAAAGTCGGCTACACTTTCGGCGAGTGTGTGTTTGTTTGCATGCAGCTGTAGTTGTTTGTGCTGTAACTTAAGTTGTAAATGAAGATTGCGTTGGAAATTGCACAGAACTGGCGTTGGCTTCGTCTTCGTTGCCCCGCCCACTGCCACAATCCACCACCCACCGCCCACCGCCCATGAGATGTGCGTGCAAATTTAATGAAGCTGCCACACACACTGCACACTTGCACACCCGCACACCCACTCCCGCACTCACACTCACACTCAGGCAAACACTCGAGCATGCTCGAGCTTCAAGCTTTTCTGTGGCATACGCTGCGCCGCATAAATTTCTGGGCGGGATCGGGATCGGGGAGTCCGGAGCACTTGGAGTGGGTTGTTTGACAGTTGATAAAACGCCGGTGCTTGACAACAATCAAACGTGCCTTCCACACTCTGCTCATTAGCCCCCCGGGACTGGGCGACTTTCGTTTGTTTAATTTTGCCTCGGCCTCTAGTTCAAGAGCGTTACCGAGAAATCGAAAGGAAGCGATCAATGATTAATGAACTTACTTAAAAATTGACCTATAAACACATCTCATATCTGGCTTGTGGTAAGTGGTATTTTACTCAGATACGTTTATTCCACTCCCATCTATCCACATTCACTTGTTAGTAATAAAACGTGTACTTAAAAATGCAGCCACGAATTAATTGCCTGCCTTGAGGCGGTGTCAGCCGCTTAATTGCATTGTTTTTCAAACATTTTGCGGAATAATATTGGTTTTCGATTGCCCTCATAAATCAGGCAGTTTTACGCAATAATTGCAAATAATTTTGTGTAAAAATCGCTCCGCTTTCCAGGCCTTCGCACACACGACAATTATGGCAGTTCAATGGAGCATTACGTGCGGCCTTATCAATATGCAAAAAGCCGTGTACTTTTATGGACTGACAAAACGATGGGGCTACGCGCCTAAGGGCGGGACGATCAAGCGCTGACATAATTACGCGTTCGAACGTGCATCCACATATAGGCAGACATATATATGTCAGCCGATTATACTGCCGTGTCGCGGGGTGTGGGTGCCTGTCACATTTAACCGGCAAATTTCATCGATTTCCCACTTTTTCCGCTCGTTCCCGGACTTTTTCACGTTGTCCAGGCAAACATGCAAATGACATCGAGTTGAGTTTCATTTCGCGGCACTAGAGTTTTTTCTCACTACATCAACATTAATTTAATGCACTCGAATCTCCGTGTTTGTGTTGTCTTTAATAATATTATTTTTCTGCAAATGCCAATCGTCCAGTTGAATAATTGAAAGGGAAAAGGCTGGCATGTATGTAAGCTGCATTGTCCTGATGCCAGTCCGCTTCTAATTAGTCTGGCTCTCATTGCGTATGCCTATTTGCAGTTCCGAGTGTTTACTTTTTCGCATGATTCCAGCACTGGGAAAGCACTCTCAGTACCAAGATCTCGGTTGTGAAGTTAATGTTCATGCTAGATTAAAAATGGATGCAATTTATACAACGAAAGGGTTTCAGTTTAAACTGCTATTTGACAACACTTTATTTTTCGGACTGGAAATGAGCTTCACCCGGTTATATTTTTAAAACAATTTCATTATAATGTATTTTTTCAGAAAGCCCTTTTCCATTTTAAGGTTTATTCCTGAGTCGATTGACTCGGTTCTTTCTGTGTAAGACTGCCCCACCCATTTGGCTTACAAGCTCGCAACTTGTTCAGAATCACGGCCCAAACATTAAACAATAACTCGCCGGGCAGTCAATACCCTGGCTCAACTTAACTCGACTTGGTTTCCCCCCTCCCCCACCAGTGTCAACAGACGCCCTCGTTATGCAACCCGTTCTGCCGGGATGTGCGTGTGTGTGAGTGTGGGCCTGGCACCCAGCGTTGATTAGGTTAATGTCCTTAAGGCATAAGAACAGCTGGCAATCCCCTGTCTCCATGACCGGGCTCTCCACTCAGTCTCACCTCCAACCGAATCCTGAGCAGCTTATGGTACCCCCCCCCCCCCCTGGGTGGGCAGGTGGGCAGTGGTGCAGCCTGCACCTGGTGAAATGGGAGAGGCGGCTCCTGCTTGCAGTCGCTTGCCTCGTGCATTGTTTAAGTTCCACAACGTCGACAACTTTGCCAACCGCCACTTAATGCAAGCGCAGAGCTCGCAGTCGGGGTCCTGGAAGGGGCGGCTGGGGAGGGGGCGTGGCAGACTGCACTTTGCCTGGTATGCGGTGGCGGCTTTTGCGGCCAGCCAGCAAACAGCAGAGCAACTGCAAGTGCAACTACACCCCCTCATTACTGCCATTGGAAACTAAAAGCCTTTTAATCGCTTCTGAACGCTCTCACAAAATTATTGTGTGAACATGGATATTTGCCGGTCTCATTCGATGCGAAGGTTGTCGGGAAATTAATTGACATCTTACCACATTTTGCTGGCTTCAGTGAATTTTATGGTCCCTGATATTAACGAGAAATGCTGACGTTATCGACTAATTAGCATCTTGAAGGCAGCTAAAAGAGGTTCTGCGCTGCCTTTCAATCTGAATGGATCAATTTGGCGCTGGCAATAATTCGGTATGGCAATAGCTGAATCTGGCCTAACTCTTGATTAAGATAACACATTACATAGCTTCAGGATTTAATGTTAGTAGTAATTTGTTTCTGAAAGTTCCTGAGTGATGCCTTATTCATTGCACGAGCTGCAGTCTCTGTGGCTCTGTTAAAGTTTAATCCCGGAAAAGAGCGGGTCTGAAACAGCTCTTGAAACACTTTTAGTTACTTTCGCCGGCTAAAAGCTACGTGATGCTTTCTCCTGCCACTTTTTGACTGAGTGGATGGGTGAGTAGCTGCGTGCCCGGTTCTTTGCGATTATGCATGCTGGGGCTGCGACCTTCGTATGTGGCTATTACGGGGACTGCCACTTCATTGCACAGGCGGCAGCTGCCTCA